ACAAGCTAATACAATTTGCATAATATTGTAAGTATGTATGATAATTACATAGCTGTTAATGCTTTTGGAGAATCACTGACATAATTTGGTAGCTGATCCCCTTCAAACTATTAAAACTGGTATTTGTCATTTTTCATGTCATAGTTGACAGATCATTTTTTGACAAAACGGACCCACTGAAAAGACTTATACTCGTAGTATAAACGACAATCAATACAGTCTTACCGAATTTCATTTAAGTTGCACTTTCTGTGGCCGAGAATTTGTGAGACAGTCTGCGAATCGAGAAATGTATTATACCGATAGAAGAGAAAAAATAGGTCTGTTTCATGTTCAGTCTGACCGATTCTGGGTTACAAAATACAATAACTTATATTGAGAAGTGACTTGATTGGTAGTTTACGTACTCTGCAATGTGTAAGATTCAGTCCGAATTAAAAAATATAGATAGGAATAGAAAAGATAAAATTGATATCTGTTTCTCAGGAAATCTTGCATGTTCGGTCTCTATATTTTGATGTACAGATTTTTGTATAACTTTCTGATAAACGACTTGAGCTGCAGCTTCTGTGCACCGGAACTTATAAAATGCAGTCACCGAAATGGAAAATATAGATAAGATAGACAAAAAAACTGTCGAAAAAGTATGTACCTTTGGTAATTCTGCGTCGCCGCAACACAGTCTCGCAGACTTTCAAGCACAGGACGTCCATTGTTCCCGACGTGCGGTGACTTGTTTCGCCGCAACGACATTTCGACGTTCCAACAAAAATGACGGACGTTGATATAAATACTGAAATATTGATTAAAGAAGTGAGGAGGCATCATGTAATTGTAATTCGTCAAACGATTTAGAACTCATTCTAAAATAATTGAAAAACTTTTCCACGTGGTTTCTCAGATCCCAAAAATCACGAACAAATGCTCCCTTTAATGAACGGGCAATCACATAAGGGTGTACCCAGTGTTTTCTTTTCTTTTTACAAATATGATACTTATATACGTAATATGCAAATAAATCACATTGTTCATGCTCAAGATCCATCTTGCTACTTCTGTTGCGTCGAGAGAACTGCATGCGTTATTGTAGGCTCGTGTGAACTTCTTGATACAACTTATGGATATCAAAATCTTAATCACAGAGTCTCCGAAATGAAAATCGTTAACATCGTTAAAAGTTTGCACCGACTTCAGGATGGACACAGGATGCAATTAGATGTACAATTCAGTACACTGTCAATATTTGTGTAAGAAACGAACTGAAAATGGAAACAGCCTTAGAAACAAACACACTGTTTGTTGTCAGTTTGTTCGTCTGAAACGTGAAAAAACAATGTTTGAGCGATATTTTTTCAATTCTCAAAAACTAAACTTTGCGTACTTGGCATTGCAGCAACATTGTCTACAAATTTTTTTGAAAACCGAGCGGTACTTCTCACGTTATAGACTGTTATAGGATTAGCGACAGACAGACCGACGAAATGAAAGAAATGGTTTTTCGTGACGTAAATGTCATACGAGTATAATATCCAAAATAGTAATAACATCTTATTTCAGTTCAGATTGGTGCTTGCAAAGCGAACAGCAGATCGGCATGGCTCACTGTGAGGGTCATAAATAAGGATCACTTTTCCGAAAAAAAAATGATGAACTAAAATGAAGATTGAATAAGAATCAGAAAAAGCAGCAAAGTTATTGAAAGAAGTGTAAAGCAGAGGGACTTTTTTGAAAAGTACTGAGTAATCACGCTTTCGTAGTAAGTACATATACAGTGTGCATGTTTAATATACGTAGTATATAATAATAAAATTATGAAAATTATTGATCCTACTCTGATGGCTTCTTTGGTCCTCTGAAAACTATAGCATCGGCTTGATTTTTTCATTTCATATCACAGAACACTATTTCTTTTGATTCAGACGAGCATCTCAATTGTCAGAGAAACTGTGCCAGGAGCATGCTCAGATCCGCAGAAATGTGAACAGTCTGCAGCGTGTTGAAGCACAAACATTTTGACGTATGTTTGTCGTCAATGCTTGAGCCGCAACATGTTGCAGAAGGTTTGCATTGCCGGCACGTCGTTGCGGCACAAAGTACAATATGAACAAGTGCAATTCTGAAAAAATGGCGTCAAGTAGGATTGACTCTGCACTGTCTACGCAACCTTCTCAAGAGTTCGTAAAGTATTATGTTCTGCACAAGCTGGCCCCTCCGAGATAAAAGTTAACTACGGACACGTAGAACAAAAACATTAAGCGGATCAAGTTATTCAAACAGACTAATACAATTAAGATTTGCATACTTTACTTTCTCTTTTTGGTACAATTTTGGAGCTCTTTAGAAGTTGGCTACCTGAGAAAATATGCTCTTCCTCGCGCTTCAGAAAGTTTTGGACCGTAGTATTGCTTTCACACAAAAGTTACCTCTTGTCGATGGATGGCCCTCCTCCTTCCGTCGAGAATTCCTAAGGCCGCATATGCTGCTACAAAGACACCTAGTTCTGACGTTGTCTCTTATTGTAATAAAAATTCTTATTCTGATCCCTTGGGATAAACATACATTTGAGTTTTGATGCACGCAAAGTGAAACACCAACTGTCGACTGTCTAGCTTGGGCCTTACAACAAATAGTCATAAAATGTATTCAAATATGATTTATTATTAGTCCTTCTATCCTAATCTGGAAATATGTCAACTTGCGCAGATAGACCGAAGCTCCTTATACGGCTTCTTTGGATTGTGTGTTTTAAGATTGATTTTGAGTTGAAAATGCATTCAAATATGACGTATTATTTATTAGTACTTTGATTCTATTCTGTAAATATGTGAACTTGCCCAGATAGATTGAAGCTCTTCATAGTGTTTCTTTGGAAATGGTATGTTTCTAAGATTAATGTTTATCTAAAATATAAAAATTAATTTTGCAAACGCATCTTACGTATCTTACTTGGAATAGAGTCGATTAGTTTCTGCTGAAGTGACTGGGCGATTGGGCTCAAGAGCAAATAAGTGAGAATAGGCATAAAATTGTCAACAGCCTTTTTATCGTACAAAACTACTAATACTGCAGGTCTCAGGCTGAAGAAGGGTGGAGAAACAAAAGCAACGAAATAAGGAGTAAGACTGGAAAATTGATGAATTGTTATACCTATATCATAGGTAAGTGAGGTTTTCTACAGGATGTCGCATCGGGAACACCATCGATAGATTTCTCGAAAAGTAGGCATATGATATTTTGGAAATTTGGGAGTATACTAACGTCGATGAGCAACGGCAGCTAAAATATTTTCAAGATGGTGGCCCTTCCAGTTATACCGGAAGTTGATGCCAACTCCTATTTGGAATGGACACCCTGCATATTACTTAATATTCGGATTCTACGTAAAATTCTAATCATATTTTATGTATAATCTCTTATACTCAAGTCTAACCGTTTTTGAAATATTTCAAATTTTATGTCAAAAATGACGTTTGCCAGGCCCTAAAATAATTGTTCATTTCCCCTATGTAGAACACCTTATTGTTTAATTTGGATTGATTTTCTGATAAACATAGTTTAATAGACTTTGTATGATATTTCGATAATTATTATACAGGGTGGTCAAAAAATTAGAAATCAGAATGTCAAAAATTTCCAAAAGTCGATTTTTTCGAATGAAAACCCCCTATTTTTATAAGTTCATCGCATCCAGCATTCAAATTTAGCGTAATTTTATACAGGGTTTTCTATTCCATAAATGTTATTTTTCCAGTAATTCGCAATTTATTACTTTTCTATTGTAAAACTCCTATAAGTACAGATTTAGTTTTTTAATTAGTTGACTATGACGGCGGTATGCGGAGAACAAACAATTGCGATCTACAAAAACGTCACTTTATGATAATGTACCTTCGTTTGACAGTTTATTTATTATTTTTAATAATCATGGCCCGGCGTTTTAATTTTACTTACGAATACTATTTCAATTTATTTACTATTTAATGTGAATGCAACAGAGTGATGTCAAGAGCATGTGATGTGTTTGCTTATTTGAAGGTTGGAGGTGGTCCTTTTGAACATTTACCAAAATAATTTCTTGCTTGTTATGTTTTGATTTCGTTTTATAATAGTATGAAATTCAAATATAAATCAAAATACCTTATTGTTTCCTGTTATTCATTTCATTGTATGTATGCTTGTTGGGAAATCTACTAGCAAACTTATCATAATTAATCTTGATATTATTCTGATTGTGAATGCATGAAAATTATTAATTATATTAATAAAAGCTTAAACTTAGACGTAGTGATATTTCCGTAGTGCTCAATTGTTTATTATCTGCGTCCCGCCGTCATAACCAACTAATTAAAAACTAAATCTGTACTTACAGGAGTTTTACAATAGTAAAGTAATAAATTACAAATTACTCGAAAAGTATACATTCTTGGAATAGATAGCCCCTTATAAAGTTATGCTAATTTTTAATGCTGGATGCGATGAACAACTATTTTAGGGCATGCAAACGTCATTTTTGACACAAAATTTGAAATATGTCAAAAACGGTTAGACTTGGGTATAGGAGATTCATGAAATGCGATCAGAATTTCATGTAGAATCGAAATATTGGGTAATATACAACTATATACACGTAAGTGAAATTTAAACGCGTTGTCATAATTATTAAAATAATTTATAAATAAACTGTCATAAATATGCAGGACATTATTATAAAGTGACATTTTGTAGAGAGCAATTGTTTGTTCTCCGCATCCCGCCGTCATAGCCAACTAGTTAAAAAACTGAATCTGTACTTATAGGGGTTTTACAATAGAAAAGTAATAAATTGCAAATTACTCGAAAAGTAGACATTTTTGGAATAGAATAACCCTTATAAAGTTACGCTAATTTTTAGTGCTGGATGCGATAAACTTATAAGAATGTTTTCATTCGAAAAAATCGACTTTTGGCAATTTTTGACACTGAATTTTTATATTTATTTTTTGACCACCCTATATAAATAATTATCGAAATATCATCCAAAGTCTATTAAACTATATCCCTGTTTATCAGAAAATCAATCCAAATTAAACATTAAGGTGTTGTACATAGGGCAAATAAACAATTATTTTATGGCCTGCAAACGTCTTTTTTGACATAAAATTTGAAATATTTCAAAAACGGTTAGTTAGACTTGAGTATAATAGATTACATAAAATGTGATTAGAATTTTATGTGGAATCTGAATATTAAGTAATATACCATTTCAAAATAAGCAAGTTGGCATCAACTTCCGGTATAACCGGAAGTGCCACCATTTTGACGATATTTTAGCTGACGTTGTCCCATCGACATTACCATGCTCTCAAATTTTCAAAAATATCAGATGCCTACTTTTTGAGAAATCTATCGATGGAGTTGCCGATGCGACATCCTGTATACTCATGAATATGTTTGAATAGATTTTATGTTTTGCCAAATTACGAAATTGAGATATTCTGTTTTTTTATGTTATATGACATGTACATAATGAAAAACCTTGTCACCCATTTTCGTCGGACTGTCTGTCTGTCCGCTAATCATTGGCCCCTGTATAACTCAGAAAGCATTGATGAAATTTTGGCACAAGCTTACTGATATGCCAAAAACGAAAAACCGTAGGTTTTGAAAATCGATCCATTGGCGGCCAAGCTATAAACAATAAACGAAAATAAAAATCGTTCGTTCGAGTGTCTCCTGCTCATTTTCCGAAAAACTTTTTGAACAAGTGTTGTAAGGGGTGGAGCATATCTTGATCTCCTTTTATGAACCATACTCGTCATCGTGTAGGGATACTTATAAGCCGCGTGTGGATGCCACAAGTATTCAACGCGAGTCTTCGAAACTCCTTATGTCGCCAAGGTTACACATCACTCTTTGAAAAATCATCTATAGTAGGTATCAGTACTTTTATATATTCTGTATAAAATTAATTAAAATAAGAAATTTTTGAGAAAGTAAAACCTGGCGTTACTGGCAATCGGTTTTTCTTGGGTATCTTTTGAACGACAATGTATCACTCATCGACATTTTTACAGCATCAGTAACAATTGGAGTTTGATTTGGCGGTGTTCACGGAAAACAATTGACTCACTTAAAACACCAGGGATGCACTAGCCCCAGTGCAATATTGCGAACAATTTTTACATCCCGTATAGTAAGGGCGCAAATACTATTTTGACAATGCCTAATGCGTTAGCTGAAAAAATGCATTTCCGTTTATGTTCGATTTTGAGAAAGTCGAATCTAAAACTAAATCAAGTGATCTAAAAGTGTATATCCTGGTGCCTCTCTGCCTCTAATTATGAATCTGTTAGCAGAATTACTATATTTGCAAAATGGCGTGACCAGTATACTGGATACGATGTCAAAATTAATACTATACTGAAAATTAATTCAACTGGGTCTTTGCCAACAACGCTCTATCCTATCGATATCAAACACCTTTTTCATATCAAAGATAAGGCTTTCCAAAAATGTTACCGTGGACCTTTATCATATCAGGTGTATTAATTTTTGGAGGCATTGTGTTGGGGTTAGCCAATTCCGAGCGATAATGATTTGCTTTTATTTGACAAGAACCGATATCAAGTAACGATCTTTATGGCTCTGTATCTCCCTAGAGGAGAACTTGTGGCATTATCTTTTTGTGTTCTATATCTGAGACATTTTGCAAAATTTCAAACATTCATTTTTTACATGTTTTAGAACGCTGACTAACTGATTCTATCATGACGTTTGCCTAGCAGCCTGGTATTCTGGAAAAAATAATAGTGAGGAGCCAGTCTCAAAAATATTTCACGTATTTAAAACTGCGCTATTGAAATGATATTTTTACCTTGCAAACGCATCTGAAGAATTTCACAAATTTATCATTTTTAAGACTAAAATAAAAAATTTATACTTTTTAAAAATAACATCTAATTTATCTTAGATGTTTTACAAAATTTCAAATATTCGTTTGTTACAGGATGTAAAACGCTGACTTACTGATTATATCATGACGTTTCCCTAGCATTCTGATATTTTTATAAAAACAATAGTGAGGACCTGAAGAATTGTACACATTTAGCATTCTGATATTTTGATGAAAGCAATAGTGAGGACCTTTTCAATAATCTTCAATGCAAAATATCACACATTATTTTGTCTAGAAAATGATGATGGAGACAGAAGAAGTAGATGCGTCTAAGACATCTTTGGGCAATGCTCTATATATGAATATCATTACCTTAATCGGACAACCGCAATTTTAGTAGCAGTACTATATTTCAGGTAAGTTATGTACTATTTGAGGGAGCTAGTCCTAAACATATTTCACATACTTAAAACAACTCTATTGAAATGATATTGTTAAATTAGAAACGCACCTGAAGAGTTGCACACATTTTTTATTTTTGAAACTAACATAAAAAATGTACACTTGTTAAAAATAACATCCAATCCACCTCAAAAGTTTTTTAGAACTTCAAACATTCATTTTTCCATGATGGAGAACGCTGACTTACTGATTCTATCATGACGTTTCCCTAGCAGTCTGATATTTTGATAAGAATAGTAGTGAGGACCTTTTCAATCATCTTCAATACAATAATACTATACAACATTTGTTTCAGAAAATAAGGAGGGTGATCGAAGAAGTAGATGCTGCTAAGACATCTTTGGGCAATGTTCTATTATATCTGAATATCATTACCTCAATCAGACTACCACTGTTTTAGTAGCAGAACTATATTTCAGGTAAGTTATATAGCGTAAGCATAGTGATTAGAGGTGGTTTTTGTAGAACATTCTCTGAGATTACACAGGGCGCTCTGCGCGTTGTGGAATCATGGTGTAGGGAAGTTGATCTTTCTGTCAACGCTGGAAAGATCGAGCTGATCCTATTCACTAGGAGAAGAAGGTTTGACGGGCTTGTCTTGCAGACCTTCTTTGGGACTAGATTAGTTCTATCCCAATCAGTAAAATATCTAGGAATTATCCTGCACTGCAAACTGAACTGGAGAGAGCACGTTGAATTTGAGGTTAACACGGCTCACGATTCATTGTGGGCTTGTAAACGCGTTATCGGAGTATGGTGGGGGCTTAAACCCAAAGTGGTTCACTGGCACTACACGACGATAGGGCGTCCATCTCTGTTGTACGTCTCCTTAGTTTGGTGGCCCTGCATCGGAACTGAGACTACTAAGGCCAGATTCAATAAAATTCAGCGTTTGGCCTGTATAAAGGCTGCTACACACAGTGCCGCCGGCTAAGTCTCCGCGCACCCGGCGGCATACAAAGCCGCCGGCCTTGCCGCCGGGGTGTGCCGGCGTCACTTCGTTCCTGGCATTCGAGAGGTAGTGTTGTGCGGTTTGTGTGTTGCACTTCACTAGCGTTCTATGTGATTTTTTTTTTGGTGAGGGGGGAATGCATTTACGCACCATACCATAGCCCGAGCTACGGCGTGTGTGGGACTCGAGGGTCTTGAGGAGATCACCTAATACCCATTAAACCCTAAACCTCCGCGTGGCCCGACTCATCAGCGTCTCGGTAGGCCATGTGTTGTGCGTGACCTGCGGTCTGCTACAACGTCTCCTCATGTGTTTCAGTCTCTGGGAACGCCGGGTTGGTTCCCTTTACCTCGCACATTCTATCGATGTCGTTAAGCGATCATCGATAGAGGGTCTGCTAGGTTCTCTTGAAACTCTTGTTTTCGAAAAATCAAGAGTTTCAAGTCCTCTTACCAATATGTTGTTCCTGGTCCTGGTCCTGAAGGGTCCTGCTCCTGAAGGGTCCTGGTCCTGGTGGGCCCTGGTCGTGGCGGGTCTGGTCCTGGTTGGTCCTGGTCCCGGTGGGTCCTGGTCCCGATGGGTCCTGGTCCCGGTGGGTCCTGGTCCCGGTGGTTCCTGGTCCCGGTGGTTCCTGGTCCTCTGCATCCACGCCGTGGGGGGGGGGGGGGAGCAACCGCGAGTTCTCCTAGTCTCCTAGTCAAGGTTCCAGTTAGCGGGTGCCAACTGGGACCTTGGTCTGGGGTACCTGGTTCTGCGGTTGTGAGGCCTCTCGTCCGGATCGTAGTCCATGAGGAATCGTAGCTGCTCGTTCGGGTGGTCCTGAGCTTTCTCGAAGGTCTTCTCCGCTTTTTTCCTCATGTACTCGTGGATGGTGTCCCAGTGCAGGTCTCTACGCAAGGTTGAGTTTCTTACGTAGGATGGTGCACTGGTGGCGATCCGGAGTAGCTTCATCTCTAGAGCAGCAAGTCGCTTGCGGTACGTGGGGGCAGCGAGCTGAGGTCTGGCGATGGCCTTGATCAGCCGTAGCTTGGTCTCTAGCGGCATCCGGCTGTGTCTACCCAGTAATGGGTAGAGTTGAGCCATGGCTGCTCTGGTCTTTGCGATGACAGCTTCTATGTGGGCTTTCCAGGTGAGGGACTTGACAAATACGATCCCCAGATATTTGACTTTGTCGCTCCACTGGATATCTTCGTCGAAGATGGATGCTTCTAGAGGTCTTGCAATCCTTCTTCGTTGAATGAAGATTGCCTGCGTTTTCTGGACGTTGATGCGGATTTTCCATTTCACGCACCAGTCCTAGATGTGGTCCAGTTCATCCTGTAGTCTCCTACGGATGATCTCGGGTCGTCTATGCTTGGCGGCTATAGCAGTGTCGTCTGCATATAGGGCCAGCATTGTGTCAGCTGTCTTCTTCGGCACATCGTGAGTATAGATGTTGAGAGCAGGGGGGCTAAGGCTGACCCCTGGGGCACGCCTGCTTCAAGCTGTCGTCTTGTTGAATGGCATGTACCAATCTTCAGCGTGAACCATCTTTGTGTTAGATAGCTCTGGATCAGTTGGCACATGTTCGCATCGATTCCGGCGGCTTCCATTTTGGCGATGAGTCCATCGTGCCAAACTCGATCGAAGACTCGTTCCACGTCCAGCAGGACGAGACCGGTTGCCTCCTGGAGATTGAAGCCGCTGGTGATGTTTTCCGTCAGTCGTAGCGCTTGGAGTTCCGTGTTTTGGGAGGATCTGAAGCCGAATTGCTCTGGGGGGAGAAGTTGCAGTACTTCTGCCTGCTTCTCTAGTCGAACGGCGATAGCCTTTTCGACTACTTTGCCCATCGAGGAAACCAGGCTGATGGGCCGGTAGTTCTGGGGCAACTCCCGGTCCTTGCCTGGCTTGGTGAGCATTATAACCTGGGCTTCCCGCCACCGCCGCGGGAAGTGGTTAAGTCTCAGAGTGGCATTGGCGATGTTGGTGAGCGCAGCAATGCCTTTGGTGGGAAGGTTCTTCAGCATCCTATTGTTGATGCCGTCCCTTCCCGGCGCCTTTCTGACCTTCAACCTGCGGATGATCAGACGGATTTCCTCTGGACTGGAGGGGTGATCCGTCTCCTGGCCAGGTGGTCGACTCCTCATGATTTCGGCTGCGACTTCCACGGCCTCCTCGTGGTTGTCGTCCTCGTCTTCATGGTAATTGAGTCTGCATTCGGATTCTAGCGAATCGGCGAATGCTTCGGCTTTTTCTTCACTGGAGTAGGCCAAGCCGCGTTGGCCGTGAAGAGTGGGGATCGTGGTGCGCTGACGACGGAATTTTCGCTGCATAGTCCAGGCCGTACCATCCTGGGTCTCTAGTTCTGCACAGGCTGCATTCCATCTGCTGTTTTGGAGTTCCGCGAGTGCGTTCTTCAGAGCTAGCGATGCTCTGTTTCGCGCAACTCTCGACTCCTCTGTCAACAGCTGGAGATGTTCTCGCTTTAGTCTTCTGTTCTCCCTGATCAGGTGCCTAATATGGTGCGGTGCTGGACCATTTAGGTGTCTAGGAACTGCCGTAGTCTCGGAGCGGGTGCTGTCCTCGTGCGCTCGCAGGACAGCATTCTCCAGCTCCTCTACCGCGTTGTCCAGTTCCTCCGCTGATAGGATGGTTGGAATTTGAGTGATGTTCCTTTGGACGTTGGATTTGTACAGGTTCCAGTTCGTCCGTTTGGTGCTCAAGCTATCACGAGTTCTAGACCCTGTGCCAAGTGTTAGTAGAATCGGATTATGGTCCGACGATCCTTCCACCAGGGTCTCTATTTCGAACTCCTCTCTGATGTTGCGGAGGATGGCTATGTCCAGTACCGCAGGTCGCCCGAGGCCGAATGGAATGTAGGTTGGTTGCTCCGGACCGACGATGACCCCCGCCAGGGCATCGACGTGTTCTTGGAGCTGCCTTGCATTCCTGTCTTCGACGTTGTTGTTCCATGCCGGAGATTTGCAGTTTAGATCTCCGATGACTATGCGTGCTCCTGGGCCTCTCAGGAGGTCAGCGATGTCATCTTCGTCTAGGGCCTCCCCTGGTGGCACATATAGGGAGGTGGTCTTGTAGGGACGGTGGTTGTGATGGACCTGGACCGTGATTCCGTCCCCATTTATGTCTGCGGCATCGTCGAGGACATGACTCGTCAAGGTACGTTTGACGAGTAATGCGACTCCTCCACCTCTGCCTCTTCTGTCGTAGCGGTACGTCTCGTACCGCGGGAACGCAGACTATGGGCAGCATCCAATTTCGTTTCTTGGATGGCCATCACCTCTGGTTGGTACTGGTCTAGTATCTCCTGGATTTCTGGTTTCCGTGCCCTGAATCCGTTGATGTTCCAGGAGATAATGCGTAGAGATTCTACGTTTTGCCCTGTAGTCATTTCGGGTCTAATGCTTGTCTTGCATCTTGGCCTCGAGTGCATCCAGGCGGGTTATGATGGCTTGCATCATTGCTAGCAGTCTGTCATCGCCGTGTTGCTTCTGCGCAGTAGTTCCAGTAGCAGTGGCGGCTGCTGGAGCAGAAGTGGACATAGGTTTCTTCGCTTTTTGAGCGTAAGAGGTCCTATTTGTGGTGGGGGCTGCTTTGGGGGCAGAAGCAGCTTTCCTCGGGGCCTTACTACATCCCTTGTAGTTGGCGGGGTGGCCTTCTCCACAAAGGCAACACTTGGCGTTTCGTTGCCCTGTTGGCGGCGCTGGCAGACTGCAGCTGGTGCTGCTGTGGTCCTCTCCACACTTAACGCACCGTTCAGCGAGACGGCAGTTCCGCTGTGTGTGCCCGTACCGCTGGCAGCGGTAACATTGGCTGGGCTCGGAAGACTTTTTCTTCCTCTCGAAGCTGACCGTGAGCATGGCCAGCCTCTGGATCTCTGCAAGCTTTTCCGGCATCTTCGTCTTGACGAGAAAGAGCGGAAGTGGCTTCTTGGTGGTCCTTGAGGTCATCTGCTGAACCTCGGCGTCTGCGATGCCTTGGCTCACTAGATCCTCTTTGATGTCATTGACTGACATCTCCCTGGGTAGCCCACGAATGACCCTCTGGTCCATCCTGTCCTCCTTCAATTGATATGTGAAGAAGGGCCGCTTGATGGATTCCAGCAGTGCGACTAGCTGACGGTAGTCAGCTGGTGTATTTGTGAACACCTTCACACTGTTACCCGCCGTCCTCGCCTTGGAGAATTGGATCCCCTTGCTGTTCATCATCCTGCTTAAGGATGACCAGTCAGCGGTGCCCTCGATGCTGATGGGGGGAACTCCTGTTCCCGACATGGGGAGCACGATGGTCCTGGCTGCTCTAGGACTCTTCTTGGTGGCGGCAGCTGGCATCTTTGGCTGCCTTGGCGACTCATCTTCGGAGGAGGAAACTCGCACCCGCTTCCTCCGTCTGGTGGCGACACTGAAATCGGTGTCGTCGGTCCTCTTCTCGGCTTCTTCTTCTATTTCTTCGGTCCGTTGAGTGCCCTCTTCTTGAGCGTCCATCTCGTCCGACGTAGCCTGGTGGTCCTCTTCCTCCTCTTCTTCGGTCTTCTTTGCCTTCCTCTTCGCTTTGAGGAGCTTCCCCTTCACTTCATCTATTTCTTGCCTCGCCTGTTTGAATGCTTCTTGCAGATTTTTCATCTGCTCAGCAAGCATTGCGAAGTTATCCTCATTCTGCTTCAGCTGGCTCTTCAGTTTTTCTATTCTCGCCATCGTGGATGGCGATCGTATCGTGATGAAAATCACAATAGGATCGCACTGTAAGTCCGGGTGGGTCGCAGTCGCACAAGTGTATACTCGCGACGGCTGCTAGCTCGGAACTGTGTCTTCTATGTGACTGTCACAACCGGAATGATGCTTGGCGGCTTGTATTGCCGACGGCATTGCCGCTCGGCATAAACCCGGCGGCATTGCCGTGTAGTAGCTTTTAGCATTACAAGCGCAGTGCGGATCACACCATTGAGTGCAGTGGAAGCTCTGCTGTATGCCCCACCGTTGGATCTAGTGATCGGCGGAGAAGTGAGAGTAGTCGCTCATCGACTGTGGAGTCAGGGCAGCTGGGCCTTCTTGAATCCTGTCAAGGGTCATACTGCCATCCTGGTCGAACTATAAAGGAAGGATCCCGTCCTTCTAAGCAGGGGTGATCTGATTACCCCTAAATATGGCTTCGACCGCAAGTTTATTGTGGAGTATTCAACGAGGGAGGAGTGGGACGCCGGTTGCCGGAGGCTCACCGGAGTGAGTGGGCAAGTCTGGTACACGGACGGCTCGTCACCCAAGACGGCTCTGGCGCCGGGGTCTCGGGGCCTAGGACTAGGCTACCTCTGCCTCTTGGTGGACACACCACTATTTCCCAGGCGGAAGTTGTTGCGATTCCGGCTGTTGTATACCTCACTTTGGAGGGGGTGGGCCTAAGAGAACAATAACAATCTTCTCCGAAAGCCTGGCTGCAACAAAGGCACTAAGTGCCTGTAAAATCACTTCGAGCCTTGTATTGCAATGCAGGGAGGCTCTGGATTGTCTAGCAGCGTGGCATCTGGTATCGTTAGTGAGGATACCGAGGCACGCTGCGATAAAGGGCAATGAGACGGCGGACGCTCTGGCGAAGAAAGGATCAGCCAGCAAGCTCGTTGGTCCTGAGCCAGCTTTACGGGTGCCCCCACCAAGGATTAGGAGGGAAATGGAGAAGTGAATTGGAAAAAAACACTCTCAGAAATAGAGAAGCATCTCTAGACATCTACGTCAGGCACGGAAACTCATTGTAGGGCCCAGCGCTAAGGATGGACGTTTTTGCTTATCTTTGGATAGAGCCAACCTAAGGTTGCTGGGGGGACCGTTGTCTGGCCCTAACACGTTAAGGCGCCACCTGCACGTGATGGGGGTGGCTGAGTATCCCTTGTGAGCGCTGCGGGTAGAGGAAGAGGCCTCGGCGCACGTTCTGTGTCGCTGTGAGGATCTTATCTACCACAGGCAGACTATACTGGGGTCCTATACTATACCTAGGACGTTAAGGACCTTGGACTCAAGGCCATACTCAACTTCTCTAGAATGACGCGATTTGAGGTCTAAGGAATGTAGAGGTGCGTAAGGGCCCGTGTAAGTGGCCCATGCGCTGGCTCCTTATGGTGGCCGGTATGCCCCTAATTCCATGTTTCATTTATTCATTAAAGTTATGTAGTGTTTCAGGGAGCTAGTCTCAAAAATATTTCACATATTCAAAATGTTCAAAGTTTGTTTCAGAGGCTCCCGACGTTTTTCAAGAAAAAAATTGTTGGTGTACTCAATCTAAGTAAACGGTTTGAAAATATTAATGATTGCGTTTTAGTTTTGTTAAATTAGCTTCTTAGATTAAAGTATACTACTTTAGAAGTCGGAGTTTAATTAAACTAATGAATCTTGTTAGCTGTCACGTAGTTAATTAAATTTTTTAATTGGCCTTATCAAAATTTTACTTTGTTTTATTTAAATTCGGCATATCGGCCAATATAAATTATAATGGTACTGATACGGATCATACATCATAATGATGACCTGAACATGACTACTAAAGCTTGTCCCAGGCACAAAACGTGGAATTTGACCACCCGTTACTTTTAAGGAAGTTCATATTGTGGTAGGTCATGTGCAAGTCAAAATCCCCTATCAATGTATGTTATTTTGAATACAAATAGTATAACAACTGTTTCAGAAAAAATGAAGGAAATTTGAAAAATCGTTACAGAGAGAAATAAACAAGTGTACTAAAAATACTAAGAAGGAATTGTAAGACAGTCAATATTATATTACATCCGAATGTCAATGCCGAAAGATGAAAACGAACACTTTTTGCTAGGACAACTGTATAAGACAACTGCTATATCGATATAACAACAGTTTAGGTAAGCCAACTGTGACAGATATACTATTAAGCTTATTTGATAATAACCTGGTTTTATGAAAATATTTCACATAACTTCGTTTTTACGTATAAAATGGGGGTACAATCTATAAAAAAATAATAATAGAACGAAAGTTAACACAGGAAAATTATATACGTCTAGGGAATACTCAGCCAATCTGCTAAACTACATTTTTATGTATTTACCACCGTTCAGAGAGTCTCTGGGCACATGATGGTCGATGATAAAAAATAAAAAAAATGGTCCCAAGTATATTGGCTCTATACCTCCTAAGCCTACGTTGGAAGCTTTAAAGGTAAAAGGGATAAGTTAAATCGTGTGAAAACGCTAAATCTATTCGTGATTTGGTAGGTTCAATTAGGTACGAAAGATCTTAGACTTCTGCATATAAAGCAAATCTACTATATTTCTGTTTCCATGGCAGATGTAGGGAAAATATGTATTACTTATTATAGTATCACTGGGATCAGCAGCTTCTTAATAATGATTTTTCACTGACACCACTTTCAAATTTTGAACCTCTTATCATTCATGATAAGTATTAATGTTCGCTAGCAGGTTTTTCGATAAATGACGCGCTCTTCCGAAGAGCCATGCATGTCGGCTGGTCAGAGTCAGAACACCCACGACTTGATCTGGCACGAACGCATCTCGTCACTAGCGATAGCTGCTGGGAAAAGGCTAGGCTATTTGTTTAGGGCTCTGCAGTACTTTTCTCCATATAACCTCCTCACCTTGTAGATCCAGATAAGATAAAGCCGCGAGTACTGCTTACATGTTTGGAGTGCTGCTGCCCTGACTCCATTCTCATTGCTCGATGCTGTTTAGAGGAGGGCTGTCCGACTGATCACTGATCCTTTTCTATCGGACAGGCTCGCGATTCTTTCGCACGGACAGGAAGTCGGTGACGAACCGTTACGTCAAGGGGCTTTGCTCCTCAGAGCTCTCACCCATGGTGCCGCCGCGCGATTTCCCTGCTAGACTGACCCTGCTGTAACCATACCACCTAACCGTGTCGAACTTCGTTACATCCAGATCTGACCGATACGACCGCCGCTGAGTCCCTAGGGTATTGAGATTGTGGAACAATCTACCAGAGGAGGCTTTTCCCAATTCTACTAAGCTGAGGTGGTTCAAAGATCGGATTAACCCTTAAATGCGCGATTTTTTCTATTATGGTAAAAAAATATATTTGATGTTAAATTACCTCTAGTTGCCACAAAAAATAGTTAAAAAAATACAAATTCAGAAAAACTATTTATTTTTGCAATTTTTTTAATGTAGCATATGTGCTAAAGCGAACATTACAACTTAAATATGCAAATCACGGAACTATACTGGTTGGTAGCTTTCAGAAATAGGACTTAAGCTTTTGGAATATGCTTTTAACATTTTATTATGGGAATCATGAAAACAGTTTTTAGCTTTGTTAAAGCATAGCGAGGTTTGTCATTTTTCACACATGACGTACGTAAACCCGCCGCACTTGGGAAGTTTACAACGTAAACGTTTTTCCATCCATACGGGACAGTGTGAGCTCTCGTCAACCCGTACCTCCCTAGGAGGAATAGTACAGTTACGAGAGCGTTGTTTCTGTTGGATTTCTTTTCCAAATCAGATTTACGATTTCTTGAGTTTTGACGAATACCTATTTTGCAAAGTGTTTCTCCTAATTCAATCCTAAAATTTGCCAGCTCAAGTGTTTTAGTATTTCCCTTCTGAGCATTAACTCTCCTATATAGAAGCCAAGCATTTACCAGTTTCATGTCCAAAAGGTGATAAAAAAGTCTGAAATACCACTTCCTGGATTTGAGCTTGATACGGTATCGACCAATCAAACTATCCATAAGGTCTACTCCTCCCATATGTTAATTATATTCTTTTAAAATCTTAGGGCAATCGATCTCCACTATTTTATTTTGAGATTTATCGTATCTGTCAGCTTTGGATTTGGGAAGAGTTCCACAAAATGTAGACACAAGGGACACAATTTTATTGTTCTTCCATGCAATTGAAGAAATTGGTACTCCTTCCGTCTCCGTATTATATTCCTTACTGGTACCTCGATTTTCTTTACTCATTTCCTTATCTCCTGGAAGGGGGCATTTTGGTATCCGATTTCTTCTGATAGTACCCAAAGCTTGACCACCGCGTTGAGATAGCTGTGCCGGAAGTGGTAAGGTGGTATAATAATTATCAAATTATACATGATAATTCATATCATTTGGTAGATTACGTAGAAGTCTCGTTACGATGTTAGCACATGCCCCTAAATAACGCTCATTTGGCCCTGTTGTGTTTTCTTGTCCACTGTAAATTTCAAAATTATAACAATATCCTGAAACTCCGGCCAACACATAAACCTCGAATCCCCATTTATGCGGTTTAGCTGGC